ATCGTCCACTTTTGGAAGGCCAAACAAAGTAGTTTTGCTTTCACAACGAAATGCACAGCGCCTTCACGACATGGCGGCGGCGGCAACAACAATACTACAGCGAGAATAAAAGTTACGCCTTCTTTCTTTGCGCGAACATTTGGGCGGCGTTATGCAAATCTTCCCACATCGTGATGTAAACATGTGGGGGCGTGTTAGAACGAGCCGTTTTAGGTAGGCGTGGTTGACTCTTAACTTTTATAAAGAATATCTCTTTGGATTTGAGACTTTAGTCTTTGCAACTTTACAGATCTTCTTTATGCACCAAGAGCTTGTAACACTCCAAAGAGAAAGGAAAAATTGAAATCGCATCATATGACCCCTTTAAGGTTAGAGCTAAACTCTGCAGGACAGGAGTCGCCAGGAGCAGAGTTGAAGACTCCTCCTCTAGCTGGTTTAGAGGGTTGCCCAGTTGGTCTCCTAGCCTGATCAGCTTAAAAATGCCCAAGAACCCTTTAAAACAGGGGTCTCCAAACTCGGTCCTGGAGGGCCGGTGTCCTTCAGAGTTTAGCTTCAACTTGCCTCAACACACCTACCTGGATGTTAGTAGCATGCAGAGTAAGACCTTGATTAGCTGGTTCAGGTGTGTTTAATTAGGGTTGGAGCTAAACTCTGCAGGACACCGGCTCTCCAGGAGCGAGTTTGGAAACCCTGCTCTAAAACCAGTCAACAGACCAGCCTGAAAGACCATTAAACCATCTTAGACTGGTTTAAGCTATGTTTTCAGCAGGATAATACCATAATCTAGGCTAACAGTGGCTAATTGGCTATGCTAGGTCACACAAAGGCCCTGTCGTAAATGGTGTACTTAATGTTAACTTACGGTCTGGTGACCTTTGCTCCTATGGTGTCCAGCTTGTCATTTTTGGTTTCCAAACCTTCCCAAGCAGCCCATTTGAAGCCACTATGCATCCTCGAATGTTACCCAGTAGTCCGTGTGGCAAAGCTTATACTCTGAAGAGGATCGCTAGGGCTGATGGTGCCATTTGGGACAGGGCCATGCTTGATCAGACCAGAAAGACTCTCCAGCGTGCTCTCTCTCATTGTCCTCTTCTTTCCTCTCGTCACAGTCTAGCATGCATACCTGTTTGCTCTAACACATCAGTCTGATAATTCCACTGAGCTGAGTCTCAAGCAGGGCCCGAAGACACAGAGTGTACCCTGTTGTGGATGGATGCCACAGTTTGTGGTGATCTGTGTCAGTCATTGTGTTTTAGAGTAAATGTGTGCGCACATGCGAGTGTATGTGTGTCGGAGAGAAAGAAGATGGACTTTATTTTAGTCGCAAAGTATGATTCATTATTGCACAGAATTTAAAAGAATCACAGTGTTTTCCCACTCTAATAATTAAATTCAGAATCCACCTGAAGGCAAGAGTACCCACCCACACCCATCTCCCCACAGACAAAACTCTTTTCTGTTTTTTTTTTTAAATCGGTCACAGAGGGGGTCAAGGAAAATGTGTACTGTTAACCTATTGGTCTTAGAGCATATCTGCGTACTCTGTGATGTAATAAATGTTTTTTCTCTGTGGGGAGGGGCTTATGGAGGGTTGTTCAGAGTCAGATCCTGTAAAAGCCATTCTTTTTTGCCTTCAGGGGGTGGGAACCACCATCACAGTGGCACAGGTATGTCATGACTTCTCCTGCTCCACTTTTCTTGTGCCATTTGTTTTTCTTTGTTGCTTTTCCTTTATTCTGTCACCCCTTTATGTGTGTTCACTTATACCTTAGAACATGTTAAGACATACTCAGCACTTAGTTCCCCCCAAAAGTCTACCTTTCCTGCATTTACTGTAGTGCCAACAAATCTGCAAACTTAAGCAAGTGTCGATGGGACTATATTTGGAGTGCTCAGTAATCAAACCAAGTATCAGATACTATGTTTTGTTGTACACCCCCTCCACTCTTCCCTAGAGAATTTCACTTGATTGTCAAAGCGCTAAAAGTACGTGTCCCTTTTAATTGTGTTATGTCTTGTCATTGCACATTTTGACATGCCTGTGATAGATATTTACCCCACATTGTATTTAATCAGTGTGTTCTGTGTATGTTCAGGAACTATTTTTATTTAGAAATTATCTTTTATTAAATTAATTTGTATGTTGGAATATTTTGTTCTTAAATGTATTGTTTGCTATAGTATAGCAATGGGGTTTAAAAAATAGATACAGTTTTGTAGTGTAAACAAATAACAGATAGTAATATTCTTTTCTACCAGTTATTTACATTCTTAAGGTGGTAGCAAGATTTGTCCACTCTTATTGTAACAGATTCTAGCACACATAGATCTCAGAGGCTGCCTGCTTTGCCATTTTTCCTGTATCTGAGACATGTGCAGATTTGAAGTGATGTGTGGTGTTAATGGTATTGTTGATTAAATTTAGTCGCCCTTATCAGGCACCACTTCACTCTGTGCACAACCTCATTATCTGGGCACAATTTCTGTGCATGTGTGATTCTCTGTCTTCTAAATGAGGCACACAAGGTCACATTATGCCTTTTTGAGAGAGAGTTTTCATAACCACTATGATTTTAAGCATTGTGTCTAGAGGGGATATTGTGCACCCTGTAAATGAGTGGGCGCAAAATGTGCCCATCACCCAATTAAGAGCGGTTCTTCCGCTTCGATCTTCCTGCGGTTCAAACGAGCGACACTTATCAATATTTCAGCTCATTATACATGTAGCAGAGCCCTGCCTCAGGTTAATGTGTTAACTATTAATGCAGACCGCTTCATTATTGATAATATCAGCAGCCCTGGACACTGCAACCGCCCATGACAGGGAGTGTGTGTGTGTGTGTGTGTGTGATGAAGCCAGAAGTCTGAGTCTTCATTTAAGCTCCACTCTCAGCAAGAGAAGCAGTATAAATCGGGAGGTATTGAGACCTGGATAAGATCATCCATCCATTTTCAGTGACACTAGTGGCATATTGACCCAAGCTTGGGGAGGGAGTATTGGTGAATTATTTACTACACCCACACAGGCTTTCCTCTCCATTGGTTTAAAGCAAACAAACCAGGTATTGTGTTCCAGACATCCAGAAGTCTACTGCATCTCTGGTATGTTAATAAATATGAAACCCAAATATGTGAGGTAGATTTGTTTTAAAATATTAGTATTTAAAAATATTTGACAACTTAAAGTCAGTGTGGTGTAATCAACATGCAAGAAGTAATTTGTTGTCATATGACAACAAAAATCGTAAAACATGAAACTATATCACAGACTAGGGTCATATTTTTTCATATTGAAACCAATATGAATAAAAAGATTGCATTCAATACTTTTTGTACTACATTTTTTAAAGATTTCCTATTTTCATCATCTTTATCTTTCATCCTTATTTGATATTGACTCATACAGCTAGAGAATAATCATTTAAATTAGCTATATGTCGCCCCCCCCTTTTTTGTTTTGTTAAAATATAAAACATTAGGGTTAGGAACAGCTAAGTTTAAGGTATTTAATCTTTAGAAGGAGGTTAGCTTAGAGACTCTGTGTGCCTCTTTTCCATGGCCTTAAACTGCTTCATAAGCAGGTTAAGTAAAAAGGATGACGGCTAGTGCTTTCATTGCTTCCAATTAAACCTTGCTTGTTAGTTTAACCTCTAGGTAAACCCATCAAACAATTGATGTTAAGGCAAAAGACTGCCAACGGTGGTGGCTTCAGCCGAATGGTCATTAATTTTAATTGCCTAGATATTAAAGATTTAGAAGCGCAGAGGCATGGTGGGGGTAGAAATGATCTGATGTCATGTAAATTCAGCCGCTGTAGCGTAGTGTGGCTCAGGCTGCTGGAGATATTAAAATGGAAGCAGAGAGGTGGAAATTAAATAAAGCATCATTAAGGGGCTGAGGCTCTCTGGTCCTCCAGTCCAGCCAGAGCCGGAATACGGCAGGAGAGATCGCCACGGCGACAGGCCACCGTAATTTATAGGGCTATTAAGAAACAACCCTTAATCTCTTTATTATTCCACAATTATGCAGTGCTAGCATTTGCACATCTACCACACCCCATGTGACCCAGATCTTATTGTTTCCTGGCTGCTGTTTTTAGTAAAATTAGCATTATTGTAATTATTAATGTATTGCGTTGAGGCGGTGTGGCTGCTTTTAGGTGTACTATCTGAGTTGTGGTTATTATTATGTCTATTATTTGTCTTAAGGCAGGAGCACAAAGGTGGTTTTATGCAAAAGAAAAGAACATTAGTGTTATTAAGATGCATAAAAGCCTTGCCTTTGAAATGAAGGGAACCAAATGGATCCAAGTTACCTTAAAGAAAGGTAGTGAAAGTAAAAACAGAAGAAAGAGTTATGTTAAAACTCTTATTGAGAATGTATCCATTTATTAAATGGGGCCAGGGATCAGAACAAATACTTTTTAGCAAGATCTCTGTTAGCCTTACAAGGAACTATACCACCTTCACGTTTGGCACTAGCTACCTGATCCCATAAGAACAACACTGATCCAAATTTTGCCACAAGACGAGCAGCCCCTTGTGTGTTGGTTTTGTCTAGAGACAAAGAAAGCATGTCACGCCTCCATCCGCAATAACGCAAAAGCCCTGTCTGATAATCGCTTAATTAGTCTTCATGCCCAGCGGATATTACTGTGGGAGGCTGGGAACTGTGGACTTGATAGACCCAAACATGACATCTTGAAACAATCACTCTGTTCAGTGCACAGTGCCTCGTCTGCAATGACGTCTGACGTCCCCTCCTCTTTTTTTCCCCTCTTTCCTTTTCTTTCTGTTTCTCCCTCAGGTATCCAACTGGTTCGGCAACAAGAGGATCCGCTACAAAAAAAACATTGGCAAGTTCCAAGAGGAGGCCAACCTGTATGCCGCTAAGACAGCCGTGACTGCCGCGCACGCAGTAGCTGCCGCCGTCCAGAATAGTCAGACCAACTCACCCACCACACCCAACTCCGGTAAGCTTGCACTCATCCCGGACGAGCCCCCAAAAACCAACCAGCCATCCCCAACTCCAGCTTGGTCCCTTATGAACCTCTGCTCCCTCTGGCATGCTGGTTGGCTGCTGTGACAGTGAGAGGTCCCAGCCTGGGGGATGAGCCTCACTCTCCTGCCTCTGAGACTATACATCCTGAACGAGACGAGCAAAGTCAAGCAGAAACTGTGTGAGCGAGTTTCACATGCTGAATATGTTTGTAGTTTTGAGGGGTGGGAGGGTGTTGGTGCTGGTGGGGGTAAAAGAGATAATCCTTACCCACTGCCCTCCCTTTCTATCCATAAATATGTGACAGTGTTACCCCCGCTGTGAATTGATGGAAATCTCTTGCTCGGAGCATGTTACACTCTTGAAGAAATGTGTAATATGATATAATAATGAATATTTGATTAGTAGAATGATACAGTGTCTACCTTAAATTGATGCTCTTCAGACATAATAAGCAGATTTGACTGTGATAAAGACATAGCTTAGACCCTGAGGAGTTGTGGGTAAGCAATTTTTAAGGGGTCCCCTTTTTCTTGCACCCAGGATTCCAGATGAAAGATGAAGAATTTCAGCTGGACTCTGCAGAGAACAAAAACACTCTATTAACCAACATGTTCACTGGTACTGGCCTTTTCCATAAGCTTCTTATTGTCCTTCTTGTCATTGGCATATAATTCCACTTATGAACTAGTCCACTAGAGTAGGAATAGGTGTGAACTCCTCTGGAAAACTTAGACTTCCAACTCCACCCTCCCCCTCAACATATAGACCGTGATACAGATTTGATCACCCCCTCAACAATTAGCTTCATTATAGTCATGGAAGATTAATGATGACAATAGTCTGGACATGGATGGATCCTTCACATTTCCAGTCTGGACCCCCAACTAAATTACCATATCACAGCCCATAAGAGGCCCGTCTGACTAGAGACTCGTTATTTACAGCATTATGCTAGTATATTGATCCTGGAGCAGACCCCATTTTGTGGTTGATGTTGTGAATGCATTTGGCGCTGACTTAAGCTCTTGGGTTGGTATTGGTTGTATGGTACTGTTCTTTCCTCCAAACCTCTATATCCTTTTCTCTCCCCTTTTCATCATGATTATCCCAATTTTCCATGTTCACATAAGCTCATTTCATCCTCATGTTAAAAGACACCATTTGAAGGAGAGAGACGAAGAGTTAATGTGTACTGAACATTTCTCAAATCTGCTCATGCTCTGATAATGTGTTACATACCGTATTCTCCTCCAACTGTTGTCATGTGTGAATATTACCATGTTTTGTAGTAAATTCCAAATCAAAACTATTCCATTCCTTTCTGTGATTTTGTGTTTCGAGCCTGGAAATAGAGTAATCGTTGCCAGAAAGCAATAGAGAGAGGAAATGCATATGTTGTCCTAAATGTTGCATTAAACCACATATGTATCCCCAACTTCATTCAGCTGCATATTCCATTATAGTATGATTCATTTAGTAAACTGCAAAGCCATCAAATTTTTTGTTTAAACACCATTGCCTTTGTCTGTTGTCACCATACATCACTGTGTTGATGTTTGCATGTGTTTCTGTAACGCAGAATGTTGACAAGCTTGACTTCCTGTTGTATCCTCTGCAGGTGGATACCCTGCGCCATGTTATCAGTCAGACGGCAGGATACAATGATGCCCTGGGGGGGAATCCCATGTATAGTCCACATGGCTTGAATGTAAGTACAGTCTCAGTCAGCCATGATTGAAGTGCCACCAAATTAAGCAATAATAAAGATACTACACTCATCCTAACATTATAGAGATGATCTATAACTCAAGCCTTTTCGATTGAAAATTGTAATGCATTACCATTCAAGAGTTTGAGGTCTCTTTTTTAATGTTTTGAAAGAAGTCTCTTATGCCGAGTTCACACTGAATTCGGCCATTTGTCGGCGATTTCGCAAAACCTGTCGGCGAGTGAAAAATACAACATAAAATAACTGCTTTCTAATTTAATATGTTTTAAATGTAATGAATTCTTGTTGTGGAAAAGCTGTATTTTAAGCAGCCATTACTCCAGTCTTCAGTGTCACATGACCTTTCAGAAATCATTCTGTGCTGACTTGATGCTCAAGAAACCATTCTTTTCTTATCAATGTTGATAACCGTTGTGCTGATTAATAACTTTGTGGAAACCATGATTTTTAGGATTATTTGATGAATATGAAGTTCAAAAGAACAACATTATTAGAACATTTTTACACTTTTGATCAATATAATGCAGGGGTGCCCAAACTCGGTCCTGGAGGGCCAGTGTCCTGCAGAGTTTAGCTCCAACTTGCCTCAACACACCTGCTGGTAAGTTTCTAGTATGCCTATAAGAGCTTGATTAGCTGGTTCAGGTGTGTTTAATTGGGGTTGGAGCTAAACTCTGCAGGACACCGGCCCGCCAGGACCGAGTTTGGGCACCCCTGATATAATGCATCCTTGTTGAATAAAAGTATTAATTTGTTGTTAAGAAGTTGCTTTATTTAACAAAATGATGTGCCGTGGGCACATAAACACCAACATTTTAAGTTAACATTTACTAAGAAATGATGTTGTGAAAATCTGTAATGTGCAAATACTAGTGTTGGACAACCATTCAAATGTTTAATCGCGATTAATCGCATTATGCACAAAATTCAATAATGAATTCAAAAGTAGTGTATTGCGCACTTTTTCCATTTTAAAGTACTGCAATATGAACAAAAGTGCAATAATATTTTGTTTGCAAACACTTTAAACAAATAAGGTGCTTTTTTCCCGCATTATTCCTTTTACATAGCCTAGTAGCAGTTAAAATATTTCTTGTAAATCTCAAATTAAACATTAATGTAATCAAATTAAATATAAAACCAAAGCTATCTGTCACTGCCAGGGCATTAACGTTTTTATAGAAAATATTTTATAGTTTGTTATAGAAAAATAAGTTATGCTCAGAGTCCAGAGCCTCGATCATAACATTATAACAGGCACCTTCCTTGTAGAGACCTGCACTTCCGAGGGATTATCGCGGGACCCAACGCAACAGAGTGCTGTGCGGGACAACACCTGATGGATGAGTGCGGATGTGGGCGGGTCGAGACTCGTGTGTGCGGGATGCAGGAGAATAAGGGTGTACTCACACTAGGCAATCTTAACCGTGCCCGAGCGCGTTTGACTAGTGTGATTGCTCCGTGCCGCGCTCGGGCGTGGTTCGTTTAGCCGGTTGGAAGAGGTGGGCCAGAGCGCGGTTCAGTTGGGCTCGGGCACAGTATGCATGTAGTGTGAGCACTAACTGCGCCGGAGCGCAGAACTTCTGATGCGTGCAGCATGATTGCGTGTACATTTCTTAGCAGCAAAAGTGATAGATCTGAAAAAGAAATATATTGTGAGAGGGCCGTGTGTTAACGCGTCCCAAACGACTCAAAATAATAAACCACAAAGTTAACAAAACAATGCACTCCATTGTGCTGAGCGAGAGCGCTTCTCTGCTGTCCTCTTGTGCTATCGGAAACATCCTGTTTCCCACTTATGAAGTCGTGATTACGAGCACATTGCATTCTTTTCTGTTAAAAATAACAGTGAACAGTGGTTTTTGAATGTAGATGCTTAGCCGAAATAATTTTATTGGGAGCGTTCATGTGAGCGCTGCTGCAGTCTTAGGTCCACCCCAAATGCTCTCATTGGTTGAGACGCGTGATGACACCCATCCCAAGCCAGTACTGATCAACATCCCACCCCTCCTGTGACCCATGGTTTGTCTACATGTGTATTCCGAGCCAATGAGCAACGGACTTTCATAATAATAATAAATAAATAAATACACTGCGTTAATGCGCAATAAAATAATTGTTGCGTTAATTAATAAATTAACGCGTATCACGATAATATCACGTTAACTTGCCCAGCCCTAGCAAATACATATAGTTATTATAACATAAATCTTATAACATAAATCAGAAGGACCTGAGTCATAAGCAGGTCCCATCCCCAGCAAGGAATCACCATAAATCCAAACTCCACGACAAACAGAGTGATGATTCAGAGGATGACAGGAGTATCTGTCCCATAATATGCATAATCACCATAACTCTGCAGAGTTATGATGGTTTCATAATATGAAACGGGAAAATATGACAATTTTTTAAAGCGGGAATAAATGCTTTGCTCAGTAAAAGTTCAAGCGGCTCAAGTATTTGGGAGTGGTGTGAGGAAAATGAAATTTAGAAATTCAGAAATATTAAGTCAGTTTGTTGCCTGTGTAAACAGTTCCTATTACAGTAACCTATAACGTGGTAAGATGAAAAGGCTTTTACTAGCACGTCTTGACTCTGTTTGCCTGTTTTGCAATGCTTCAAAGAATTTGCAATATCCTTATCAACATGATGAAATATGAAAGTATGATTGCCTGCAGCCGTCTGCAGGCATGAATTTTATCTTCCTTGATGAGGTTTGATATGATGTTTTTTTTTTTTCCAACCATACACTGCGTAATATGAAACCATCAGAGTAAAGACTCATTTATTTGATGAGAGAGAGAGAGGGTGAGAGAAATACAGACATATATCTTCCTTGAGCTGAACACAGGTTTAGATGTTATATCTGTTACCTTGCTTGTCGAGGAATTGTTTATAAAAACATTTAGCTTTAAACATTAATCTAAAAAAAAAAAACTGCTGAATGACAAGACTCTGGCTGGTGAGTTGTTAAAATAGGAACATGTAAATTTATAGTTTATGAAAGACAATTGAGCATTTTCTGGATTTGTGATATTATCAAATGAGCCAGTAAAATGTGTTTTAAGGATTATTATATATTCCTGATACAAAACAGCTTATTTATCGGTCCAAATGGTCCTTGTACATTATCAAAAAAGACAAATGAGCTTTCCAAAAGCAAAACAAATCACTTTCTATTGAGAAACAGATGCAATCAGATGGAGGAATAATTTGCAGTGAGGTAATTAATAGAGCAGAGCTGTCATATGTGTACTTTCTGATGACTGTTAGAGCTCCATTTGCATGAATTAACTCTAGCAAAGCACACAACGATAAATGTCATAAGTCAAAACGTATGCCTGATTTTTCACAGCAGTGGGGCCCAAACGTGGCAGTGTATCTGTGGCTAATGCGGAGACGGCTGTGTGTGTGTGTGTGTGTGTGTGTGTGTGTGTGTGTGTGTGGGTCTGTGTGTGCATCTCTGTGTCTGTGTGTGCATCTCTGTGTG